TCCCCTCACCTCCATCATCATCGGCTGCCATCACCATCATCAGGCCCCAGTCGCTGCCACCATCTCGGGAATCAGCGGCCACGCTACCACCGTGCGCTACCCATTCCCTTGCCGCTGATCGTCATCCGCTGCCCATAAATTTTCATATCGATAATTCTACCATTCATTTTTTAAGGAAAAAAAAAAAAACTTTAACTGCATTTTGGTTTGTATTACCTTCTAAATTTATTAATATAACAATTTATCACCCTTTTACGATCTTTATTTTGATAAATATGAAAAATATAATATAATAAATTTTATTTACTGGATGACTATTATTTAACCTTACGATTTGAATTTTGACCAATACATTCCTCATGTAAAATGTAATAATAAAAAATCAAGTTTTAATACAAAATCATTATATTCATAATTTTATTTTTTCAATATTAATAAATTTGTATTTCCACAAGTACTAAAAGACTGAAGCTATTGGTTTATTAAAATTCCATGTTTGATTTATTCTTATTTTAAATAACAAATAGTTACACAATCTCGACTGTTTGAAAAAAGTCATTGATTACACAAAACTCACATAAAATTTTATTATAATTCTAAATTAGGCTATATAACGAAGGCAGAGTAGCTCGATTTCTGCATGCGCGGTAGGGACGACGACCTGCATAGTGGGCACGTCAACCTACCCGTCTCAACCCACCTCTCGATACACGCCACGTGGAAAACGTGGCCGCATCTGGGCAGCTTGTTCGCCATATCCTCTCCCAGGAATTCCGTCAAGCAGATCGAGCACGACTCATCGCCAGCCGTTTTCATGAGGTCACAAAACCGGCCGGCCACAAGAAGGTTTAGCTCTCGGGTCGAGTCCTTCCCAGGCCGCGGCTTGCGGTTCGGGTGGGCCTGAATCCCGAGCACCGTTTGCGCGGCGTACATAAGTGGGGCCCACACGAAGGAGTAGAAAATGATAGGTAATAAACGGATTTCTAGGTATAGAGAGACCATTTTTTTTTTTTTTTTTGGTTTGGTTAAGGGTTGATGATAATGGTGTTTTTAGAGTGTTTGTGTGGGCTTTATATATAGAAAAGCTTTGATGAATCGAGGTTAATTTTTAGTGTTTAATTAGTAAGATCAACATCTAATTAAGCATGTGCCTTTTGACTTATATGCATTATAAATAAAGAAGAAAGAAGGAGTATTATATATAGGGATGGTTTGAAGTTTGATCAATGATGAATTATATGCATTAGTTAATGTGTACGGTGGGTACTCATGTATGAGTGCCGGTGGAAATATTAAAATGAAAAATGTTATAGTCCCGTTATGAAACCATTTCGTCGGGATTTGTAACTGTTAAATCATCATGTAACCGTCGTGGATAGTTGATCTAACGATTATAAATCCCGATGGAATGATTCCGTAACGAGACCGTAGAATCTTCGTATTAAAATAAGAATATAATGACATAGTTACTTTTTTTCCATTTTTTTTAATATTTGAATAGTAATTATATTTTAAAATAATGTAAATAAAAATATAACACATTCATTATATGAAAATAATTAGATTCTAACAAAAACTCCTAATGAAAAATATATTCCAACAAAAATTCGAACGATATTACTCTCGTTGTTGATAGCAATAAGCTTATATGTATTTAAAAAACAAAACTACACTCACATTTATATACATACAAACACTAGTACAACGCTCGTGTATTACACGGGTGCTTGCTAATTTTTCTTAAAATCTAAAATTATTGAGAAAAAGTAGTTGAAAATTTAAATAACTTTTATAAAAATATATATTATTATATATTTAGTATGACACTTTTTATTTGTGTGACTTGTGTTATATTATAATAATTTTTTTAACTTACAACATATAACTACATTAAACAAAAATATATCAACTGAGAAATAATTTTATTTTTCTAATAAAATTTAATAAATATTATTTTTTATTATTATAAAGGTAAATATTTATTTATATATTTTATATATACAATATGGATGTCAAATCAAAGATAACAAAAAGATGATTAATTTGATATATTATATATGTAAAACCAATAAGAAATACAAAAGTTATCAACTTTTAAAATACATTTATAATTGAATAGATAATTGAAGGAAACAAATCAAAAGTCAGGGATATATTAGTCACTTAGTGTCTCACTATGTAAATTTACAAATAATTAAAGGGTTATATTAGTACAAGTGATATTAAAATACCTACATTAGCTAAATAATATTTATGGAATATCCGAACCTAGATAATAATTATTAATATATCAATATTATTTGTCCGAACCTAATTACGAAGCATGATTCTTCGCCAAGTAGGATTACGATTTTAATTGAGATTAATGATTAAAATAATAACAATATTTTGGTGTGTGTTTTTTGTCTCATTATCCCTAAAATCCCGGGACTCAATCTTCTTCCCTCCATATATAATAAAATTGCATTGAAAATAATTAACGGCCATGTGGCCCATGTGTGTATAAATGAGCATGATGTCATGATCATGTAAGAAAATTTGATATATAAATTTAAAAATATTCCTATTAAAAAAATATATTATTATACATGGGTACTGTACAATTATCATTAGGTAATTAAAAAATTATATTAAATTTAAATTGTTAAAAGGATAGATTTTTTTTTTTTTTTTTTTTTAAGATTTGCTTTTTTTTGCTTTTTTCTTTTTGTCTTATATCTTATAAGAAGAATCTTGATATATAAATTTAAGAGTCGTGATATAATAATTGAACTAATAATAAATTATTTTATTCATAAAATATGAGTTATAAATAATTATATATAAATACGATAACAAACAAAATAAGTGATCATCAAGAATTAATAATGTCATGATTCGATATGGGGAATAAATAAGAGACCAACCAAATCAATTCTAGAATTTTGTCTCGTGGACCCTAAATTACGGGATTCAATCTTTTTATTTATTTAGCGTATAAAATTCAATCACTATCAGGAGTTGACTCAAGTGGTAAACAATTTGATATCTCTTAAGCAAAGTCTCGAGTTCGAGTATTTGTGAATGCAGAAAACTCTTGTTGGGAGACTCACCCACTATTATCAGGTGTGCGACCCATCGACCAACGAATCAATAGAGACAATGCTTCGAATATCGTGGCTGGCTATAAAAAAAATTCAATCAATCAATTGGTTAATACATAAATTTAGACACGTTTTATTTGACTATTTTTGGGTTTATAATTTTCAATTAACCTTTGAATCTAGTGTTAGTTCGTCTAATCTTCGTTTTCTTCTCGTAATTTGTGACGAATAATTTATGAAATTTTATATACTAAATTGAAGCTCCCAACTTTATTCATCCCATACTAGTACAACACCCGTGTATTACACGGGTGTTTGCTAATTTTTTTCTAGAAATTTAAAATTAATAAGAAAAAAGTAGTTTTAAAATTTAAATACCTTTTATAAGAAT